AATTATCTTTCTGACGCGCAGTTTCTCATCATAAGACATTTTGTATGGTCGGTAGACTACTGGAGTTTCATTATGTAACTTAATATGCATTGTACCTGTATGCACAGTGGTAGTAGCCGTACCCACAACGAGATACTTACTAAATTCGTTAATGATACGCATTAATTGTTCCCTTTCCGCACCTGACAGCGATGTATCTATCAGCACATTTATTGGATCAGACTTGATTTGCAAAACATTGTCACGTCGCGTAAGCCGTTGTACTCCACGCGTCCGGGTGTAAGTCACACCGTCTCTATTTAATACATCTGTACCGACAATCACTGGCGTGTTCATGCATTTATCCGAAACGATGTGAAAATCAATTTCGAGGGTAATATTTGAAAATTCTACTATTAACGTAGTACGAAACGATGTTTCTATGTCCTGACAACCTATACCTCGCAAAACTCGATATGAAGGTATCCGAGTGCATTGCAAATGTTTCGAAACTGATTCGGCAATCAAAGAAATAGTTGACCCACTGTCTATAAGAACGTCAACTGGCACACCCTGAATAACTGCCGTCGTAATATCGTTTTGTTTGTAAACGTCGACTGATTCGCGACAAAAGTTAACGTTCGACTTACCACGCGATTCGGCGCGCTGCTTTGTAAAACAATCTTCGACTTTATGGCCAACCTTTTTGCAAAAAGAACAGAGTTCTGATTTTGGTATCTGCCTGTTCGAATTATACGCATTCGTAGAAGTTTCGGTTTTGGCACGTTTTGGGCACGTGTTCTGTTTGTGACCAAAGCCATTGCAAGAAAAACATCTAACACGGTAGTCTACGCGTTCTCGTTTGCGAGGATTGGGTTGTAAATCGTATTTCCGGAAGGTACCCCGTGATCGCGTTGGTGTAACTTGGCTTGATTTTAAATAAATCGATAAAAAATGTACTAGGCCGTCAGGTAACAGGTTCGCATTAGTAGCCGCGGCGCGAATCTGCGGGTCGGTAATGCCCCTTATGATTACCGCTGCTATTAATTCATCACTCATTCCGTTAACAATGCGTAACCGTAATAAGGAACGCCTGGCATATTCTGCATAGGTGGGGTAGTTATCGGAGTTCGTTTTCATCACGTCAAACAAAATATTTGCAATATCAATCCGTGATGGACACAAAGTTTTAAATTCTCGTTTGAAATTTGACCAACCACGATCGTTACTAACCCATTCGTTGAGCCACAGCTTCGCGTCACCCTTAAGACAATTTCCTATACGCGCCAAACACTCGCGATCATCCCATCGATTTAAACTGCGCACGTGATCAACTTCCGTACACCACACATCGAAATCATTTAAACATGGATCAAAATTCGATATAAAAATATGATTCGACCTTACCGGTATAGCGTTAATTACACTTACAAGTTTTTCGGTAACCTCACTCATTACCGTGTCGGCACTGGACTGCACCGTACCCGTGCAAGGTACGGATGCGGCGAAGCTTGCGGAGCAAGACTCCGACTCCGTCGCTGGCACGACAGTGCCGTCCAGGTGCGAAGATAGCGTCATACTCGGAGGAGCCGTAACGTCGCGTGACGTACCCGCATTATTCTTATTCGAAGCACCACTCACTGAACTATCTTCCAAGGCAGTCAAACGATTCAAAATCGTTTGTAATTGTTGCTCCAAACCAGAGATAGGCGGCGTGTCACTACCTTTACGACCGTTATGCCTTTTGCCTTGCGACATTGTTTAATTATTCCTCCCTTTTTTTTTTTGTTTTATTTACTACTCAACAATAATTTATTGCACACTGAATTTAAATCAAGGAAGCCGTGCTCAGAGCGGAGAGGAATCCCACTTCTGAAGTTATAAATCTATTTCGAAATACTAAAAAAAGAGAATGTATGCTTGTACACAATTTAATAACACCCACTTAACAATAATCAAGTCAAGCAACAAATATTGACAATACGCAATCCCAGCACGTCCGTCTAGCTCTGGTGTCGCCGCAAGAGAGCCCTCATCGCGTTCGCACGACCCACCTCTCCAATCCTTCCCTCACTCCAAGCGGCAAGTGACGTCATTAAGCCACGCCCAATAAAAATAAGTGTTGCCAATTATTTCCGCTTATTCTATATTTTTAATAATTAATTACAATAAGTAATAATAATAATATTCTACCACATTTACACAACGCCATCTAGTCCCAAACTAAGCAGAGCTTGTACTATGGGTACTAGACAACTGATATAAATACATGTATACTTTTTTTTTGTAAATACATACATATTATACATAGAAACACTCAGACCAAATCAAACATTAAATGTTCATGCACACAAATGTTTGACTTGAGCGGGAATCGAACCCGCGACCTTTAGAATAGCAGTCCGTTACACAAACCACTACGCCATCTAGTCGTCAAATGTAATAAATAAAAAATGAATAAAATGTAAATGTAAATAACGGATTTATTCCTTTATTTTTAACCGTTCAGGCATCGCACGCCATGTTATAGAATCTGTAGCAAAACATTTATTACTTTATACTTCACAAACAATCAAGACACTTTTTGTCTCTCACAACCAATCAGTCGAACAAATTGTCGTTTGCAGTGTTTAAGAACCGATTTTTACGCGGAGTGACTACCATCAGACCTGCTCAACCGAAGTATAAGGCGATATCGAAGTCCTGTAGAAACTCTGTTGGCAGAGTTTTGAGAGCTCGAACTTTTTTTTTTTTTTTTTCCACATACACACAACGCCATCTAGTCCCAAACTAAGCAGAGCTTGTATTATGGGTACTAGACAACTGACATAAATACATATATACTTTTTTTTTTTTTTTGTAAATACATACTTATTATACATATTCTACTCATATATAGTACTTCTATTGCCACATATATTCGTATGGCAACTGGGATCGGCGGCTTAACGTGCCCTCCGAGGCACGGTTGAGTCTAAATGTGTTAGGAATGGTCACCCATCCATAGGCTGACTAGAAAAGAACTACAGGAATCCCTTTACTTACTTGCCTACTTAGGTTTCTTTGTTTTATTTTCGTTAAAAAAAAACTATCTATCGACTGATCGTTTTTTATGGTGATAGCGAATGAATGATAAGATAATGTAATAATAACATACTAGTTCAGAATACCCGGTTGGCTTGTTGCTCAAGTAGTAAGTGGTTTCGATCAATTTTTTTGGTTTGAAAAGACAACTCCCGCACTATAAATATATCCTGTGTCCCGCGACACAGGATATATTTATAGTGCGGGAGTTGTTTTAATTTTAACTCACATACATGAAACGGACAAAGAACACCCACACTCAGAACAACAATCTGTGGATCACACAAAGCCTTGTTCATGTGGGGATCGAACCTACAACTAGGGTTGCCAACTTTTTTTACAAGAAATAAAGTATATTCAGGTCTATGAAGAATATTAAACAGTATTTTAGAAAAATGAACATTATTTTATTTATTTATTGTTTTAAATACATATTTTTTAGAACTTTTCGCACAACTTACTAATTAACAATCTTTTTTAAAAACTTCATACGCCTCATCACAATCATAACTGAAATTAAAATAAATGAGGAGCTAATTTTTTTATAAATTAATAGATGCTCTATTTCTATCCTCCCGCCACTTAGCATTCATTACTGAAAAAACTCTTTCAGTAAATGCTGAGGTGGCGGGAACAGAAAGTAGATATGAGACAATTTTAGTCATGTTTTTAAATTCTTCTGAAGTGTTAACTAATAAATGGCTCCACTTTTGGTCAGTACTCATTTCAAGAAAATCTTTGTCTTCTGATATTTTTTCATAAATTACTTTAATATTTGTTAATTCTGAATATAAATCATCCATACCAATATTGAGTCTATACAAATTTAGATTATCTATAATTTTCTCAAAATGATCAAATGTGACAAAAGACTTCAATGACAAACAGCTAATTAAAGAAAGCCAGTTAGTCTAACTGAAATCGAACCATTTCTCTAAATACAAATTAGCCTTAATAAAATAATAATAATAATATTCTACCACATTGACACAACGCCATCTAATCCCAAACTAAGCAGAGCTTGTACTATGGATACTAGACAACTGATATAAATACATATATCCTTTTTTTTTGTAAATACATACATATTATACATAGAAACACCCAGACCAAATCAAACATTAAATGTTCATGCACACAAATGCTTGACTTGAGCGGGAATCGAACCCGCGACCTTTGGAAAAAAAAAAGTATGAAGTTATTAATAGTTCTATTATAAACTTCTTGGGCAGACTCTGTAATAGTATTTAATACTTTTGTTTCATGGCCAAAATACTATCGCACGTCTGTCAGTGAGTGACAGTCTCGAATATTCGACATTGACAGATTCGTTCAAAAAATCAAAGCGATTTGTTTGTGGCTGCGCTACACTGAGCAGTGAGCGCCCTCTGACTAAATAAAAACAAATTTGTGTGAGCGTCTAATAACACATAATGTGTTAGCATTTTTGATACTGAAAACAGTATTTTGTATACTTTATTTTTGTTCAACAGTAAAAAGTATAATTTAGTGAAAAACAGTATTATACTGTTTAAAACAATATGGTTGGCAACCCTACCTACAACACTCAGCGCAGTAAGAAGCGGCGACCTCTTCCTTCGTATCGTTTGAAAAAAAATACATTTTCAGGCGCTGTTGACATCAGTCAGGCAGCCGGCCATGTAATACTACGCCCAAACAAAATTGAACAACCTATTGATACCTAAATACACTATAAATTGCTCTCATAGTAACTGCATGCTCTTACACTGTTAGACTGTTTGCTGAAATAGGCGTGTGTACACAATTATAATAAACTTTAATAAGACTACATGAGCATGTTTAAAAAACATTTATTTGGTAGAAAACACATACATACACACAAATAGTCTTATACAAATAGACAAATACACTAATTATTATTTTATTATAAAATTATTTTTTATTTGGCTTGTAAATTATTTATTTGGCTTCTGCGAGTTTTTCGTTTTTGATTTCTTCTTTTTAGCTTTCTGTGGTTGCGGAAGACCAGACGGAGGCACCTCAGCAGACTTCTCACCAGAAGGCACTGACTCTGACATCTCTTTCTTCACGATATAACTCTCCGACTTTTTAATAAAATCCGGTATTTCTTCTTCAGTTAAGTCAAACGGATTCTCTTTCTCTATACGGACTGCCTTATTCACTGAAGAGTTTGATATTTGTTTGAATTTATTTACACTAGTGCGGGTCTTTTTATACGCCGCATGGGTTTTTTCTATAGTCTCCATCGTATTTGTTGCGAAAACAACTGGTTTCCCCCTGAAATATTTCATCTTTTTCGACACGTAACATTTAAATTGTCCAATTGTGGGATATTTTGAGAATCGTTTAATGTTCGATATAAATAATTTATTCGTGGATAGAATTCGTGTGAAATCCAATTGCTCCACAGGTTCCCATGTAAGTTTTCCATCTTGTATTACAACTCTTCTTGCTTTTGTCACCACTTGTTCGTAGTAAGATTTGTTGTCTTCTGTAACAAAGTGAGGTCTCATAGTCATTTTGCACACCGGCACGAATGTCGTCTCAACGTAATCCATGAAATGCGCAAACTTGTTAATATCAACTTCAGCAGACAACAGATTCTCATCGATCACTTTGTTATGGTCCAGCTGTAAATATTTCAGCTTGTAGATGTTGTCTGGGTTCACCATCTCGGATACTAAAATCCTGTTTTCTTTCTTAAATATTTGCCCTAAAATATGCCATATTTTATCTTCACGTCGTCCTATACGCTTTAGTCTATTTACATTTCTAAAAATATCCGCTCTCAGGTCAACCGATTTCGTATCTACATCATATTGGAACCATTTAAGGATCTCCTTCATATATTCTGAATAATGACTGTACATACGCATTTTTTCTTTTCTAAAATGTTTTGGATCGTTTTTGAATAATATCGAGGACAACTCGGCACAATACCACAGGGCCGTGGTCAGATCGACTCGTATCAACGGATCGTCTATTGACATTTTACTCAGACCCAAGAAACATTTAGTTTTAGCTATACGTTTTATAACATATCCCTTCAGATATTCAACAACATTCGGTTCGATATATTTCAGCTTTTCACATGTTTTGTACACCACATAATATAATAATCCTTTGTTGTAAGGCACTCGTCTACTCCCGAAATATGTGCAAGATAATATATCGACTGCCGCAACGAACAGTATCGAACCTACAAATCACATACTTTACAGTACAACTGTTTAAAACTTTATTTTGATCTATTATGTTTAATTATATTGATGTTATAAAAGTTATGCTCTTATAAGATAGCTTATTTTATGTGTTTTCGTTTGCCTGTACCTGATTTAAATATTTTATTTGTGTTTTATATATTTTTCATATTCGACGGTATACCTTGTTATCATCAACTGCAATTTCATCGAAAGTGGCAGATTCCATAATATTCGTGGTTTACAAAATTATAAAAAATATCGAATATACCAGTTTCGATATTGTTCTTTGATAATCTATGTACGAATCTAAACTTTTGATACATTTCAATAGTTGGTTCATATGTAATTTTTTATAATAGTTACCTTTTGAAGAAGAGGAGGTATCAAAATTAAATACAAGTTTTGTATTTTAAATAAGGCACATTTATTAATAATGCAACAAAAAACAGCCATCTTAGCTTGAGCTCGATTAAGAGTAACGTACGAGTACATACTTATACAAAACGAATCAAATTATGCATCACAGAATTAAATCACACTACATACATATCTAAACTTGTTTAAATTAATACTTTGTACTTATACCCTAAGAAAATTAAGTAATATTACGTAAATTAAACAATCTTACCATGTAAATTAACATACCTACTCGTATGTGTTCAGTCTTGTTCTCGTAGGTAATTATTACAAAATTAAATAAAAATCCCTTCATTGGGTTTTTAACAAAAATTAAAAGCTAACAAATGCTGATTGCTCATAAAAAAAATGTAAAAAAAATACTTTCATAAAAATCTATTTAGGCTGTTTAATTCTAATATCTAAGTATCTTCATCACTTCCCGAAACATTTTCAATTTGACACCTTTTAAGATTTAAAAAAAGGTGTGGTATTGCTTAGGTATATGTCCTGCTTCGCAAAGACTCATTAAGTCTTTATATTTAGCTTCCGGAATTGGCAAACTATCTGAATACAGTGGCGTCTGCTTCTTGTTGTGTATGACCAGACTCCAGAAATCTATGAGTGATATCAATATTAAATGTGTTACTTGCGTACATGTAAAGACTGTATAACACTATTACGATTTTGTCCATTACAGTTGTCCGACCAAAACCTCATATCTAGTGCATCTCTAGATACCTTACGTTCAATGAAATCTAACCTACTATCTTACCTCGTTTGCTCCTCGTTTACCAACATTTTGTGGCCATAAATAGCAAAAAGCCTCTTTTAGTCCAGCGTCGAAAACTGTCAAATGCATCAGTGATAACTTTATTTTATAATAAAAAAGAGACACTTCGCCAGAAGGGTAGTTCAAACTATTTTTGATGCACTTTGAATGGATTCTTCTTTATCTCTTGCTTTATACATTCTTGCAGTTTCCTTATTTGAAATGTGTTTGTTATGATATACGGACAATATTTCGGTATTGTCTTTCAGTCTCTGCTTTGCTATTATATTTAGATAATTCAGACCAATCTTTGTACATTGCAAACATCTTATTGAAACTCAAAGACTTGTCTAAATACAATTTACTGATATTTTTTCTGGTGTAGTGAGATTCAACGGGTTGAAAAAACGTTACGTGGTCAGTAACACTTCGTATCATCTCGTTGTCCACCTTTTTTGGGTGATTTACATGTTTCACTCTATTGTCACTGCTAGTAATTCCACAAGCATCTAATTTGCGGTGTGCTGTTCGAATTGTTTGATCAGTAATAGCAAGAGTGCCACAGTACATCTTCAAACACACTTGCTGAGCCTCGTAGGTGGAATCATTCGCAGGCAAAGGTAAGTAATATTTTGTAGTAAATTTTCTTCTAGATGGTTTTTCAGTTGTCATTCTTTTTTTATCGAATCTTTTAGTAAATTTGTTTATATACTCCCACTGCTTAGTGTGATCGGATAACCGACAAAACTCATTAAAAATGTTTTTCCGAATTTCTTCACTAAAATATTTAGTTCATTGCAGCTTGCAGGTGTAAGGACATGGTGGTTTAATGATTTTAGCTGGAACGGTTTTACCTTTTTTTGAAACATATTGTTGCCCAAAATTATTCAACATTTTTGTACGAACATCAACCCACTCTTTGACATGTCGTTTTCGTTTACGACCAGGATCAGTTTTGTGTGTTGGTATGCGCTTGTGTGAAGTAGATAAAGTAGAAGTAATACAGCAGTCATTGTCGGATGTCGAAATCAGTGAACTTATACTTGGGATGTTTACTGGGTCGTCAGTTACAGATGGCGTTGTTTCAATGAAAGGGGTCTCGTTGGGAAAGGAGCAACTGTGCAGGCGTACTTTCTTCATTTACTGAACTGACTGAAGATCCCGTAGGCGTCCCTACAGGATCTTCAGTCAGTGGTGATTCGAAATGAAGGTCTTGTGAGGAGAGATGTGAAGGCATTCTGTCATGTCTTCGTCGGCTTGTGAAGTGGAAAACACATCATATAGTCGTTCTAATGTACAGGAGATTCTAAAACAAAAAAGAACATAAGTAATTTAATATCTTACTTGAATTATTAGATGAAAAGAAGACCCAATAAAAAACTGTAAACAATCGAATATGTAAATAAATCTCATCTAAAAAGTATTCAGCGTAGAATAATATAATAACTGGTAGATTCGATAAATGTTTTCCATAGTATACAATCGAAAGTATCACATTCGATAAATGTCTTACTTATAATGTACACGTATACTATCGAAAATGCCACTTTCTATATTTGTCAACAATAAGTACACTTGGAACACTATCAAATCTACCACACTCGATAGTTTAACTTGCTAACCGCCATGTGGACACGAGTAAATCATAATTATTAGTTATTTCAAAAGATCGAAGAACTAGACATTAAAATAAAACATATTTTCAATATTACATAAATAAATTGTAAAGAAAATGTACACTTACCGGGATGATCGTAATTTTTAACGTTGGGTGTGGTTTCACAACTCTGATGTTGTTCTCTTTTTTTAACTAAATCAACCATACATCTACCTCGACTATTCATTTTGAAACTTATAATAAGAAATAACAAAACACTAATAACGAAACTATGAAATATAAAGTTCTTAAAACTAAATGAAAACAACCCGCGCTTCCTCTCTCACATAACGGCGAACACTAACGATTCAGGCAGTTACGGAGTGTGCGCGCGTATCGACACATACGAACACTATCGAACTTGTAATATTCGATGATGTTCGCAGCTGAAAGTGTCAAGTATCGATTGTATTCGACTCAAAACTTGTTTAAATACATTTATTTTCAAAATTGTTTTTATTGTTTCTAAAACTATATTATATGCACTATCGATTGGTACAATAAAAAAAAATTGATTTTTTTCAGAATCGATACTGTTCGTTGCGGCAGTCGATATAGTCATTGTAATCGTCGAACTCTTCAAGCGGCACAATGGCGCCTGTGAACGGACGTCGTGTGCGCGGCCCTGTCTGTACTCCATGTTGGATCAGACCCTTGAATGATTCCAAATTGTAATAGTATTCAATGGAATCTTTGAAGTCTGGATCATTTAATAGAATCAATGGGCAATCCACAGTTTTCCTCAACCGAGAGAAATGTGACATGTCGATTAGTCGCGCTGCTTCAACAAGTCGTGTCACGCGGGCGCGTGCCTTCTCGGAAGGACATGACGTATTGTATTTCTCGAAGCGCTCTGGGATCTTCCGGCCTTTCTTGAACAAAATCTTTTCCATTAAATTGTAGTGCGTCAATAAAATGACAGGGACTCCGCTCTCGTTGTCCAAAATTATATCAGGGAATGCAATCTCTTCCACGTTGCTATACAAAACATCGGCGACATCCTCTTCCCCCGGTTGTAGACTAAATTTATTGTTAAACTTTAAGTTATCAAAGTTGAAAGACTTGTGGTCGTTATTTATATAGTTCACTAAAGTGTTGATGCAACTGCCTATTCTTTGTTTCTCGTCGTATTTTTTGGCTTGTGTCAGTGTTTTATTAAATTTGGTAGTTTTAAATAGATTTATAAAGGTCTCCTTGTCTTTCACGTTTAGGTCTATCTTTGCTGGAGTGACAGGTTCGTCTTTATCGTCTTGTAACTCGTTGCACAAACGTGTTTGTAAACTTTTAAGCTTTTTAATTTCCTCCAACGCCATACGATCTGAGGACGATTTATTTAGAAATTGTAATTTAATATATGACTTCAATTCTTCCTTTTTCTCATTGAACGTTTCGATAGTTATTTGGTCATAATCGAAAGGATTCGATAGATCTGTATCATCTACCAGCTTCTCGTTACAATGTACAAGGTAACGCTTATTTTTACAAATAAACATGGACGCCACAGACATATCTATGTCGCGTATATTCGAGTTGAACGCGTAGAAAGTCACATTATCAATTGTCATATTAGGATCGATCGGTCTGATGTCAGTGGGATACACAGCGCCATCTGTGATTACATACAGTAGTTGTACTGTATCATTTTCTTTTACATTTTCTGCCATCCAGTCTAATACTGTGTGTGGTAAGGTGCCATAACCATTTCCGCTTTTTTCATTGTATCTACATATCACCTCATTTTCTTCCACGCTGATGCACCTGTTGCTCCAGTGAAGGTATACAACCCTGTCATCTTTATCACTGCCATCTGCGCTGTCCTGCAAAGCCTTAACTTGATCGTTGAAAGTCTTCAGCGTCCCCAATCCTTTTGAATTGAAATAATCAGCTCCATTCGTGGAAACCGAATCATCCGTCGCGTAAATAAAAAAATTTACCATCTTTGTCCTTTGTCCTTATCAGTCACGACACGACACAGTGATTGATAACACGCTGAGTTTATTCAGAACAATTTAATAACTTCATTTAATGTTTTCGGTTAATCGTTATAAAGAAAACTGACACGAAAAGATATGCGAAATAAATGTGTACCAAAAGTTCACATCCAATTGTTCAGCGCGATAAATATTGTAAAAATAAGTTTTTGAGAATTACACTAGCGCTACGTATTCAGTCTTTAGTTCACTTTCACAGTTTGTTAATAATTGTAGTATCTGTATATATTCTGAAGAATACTTTGAAGAAACACGTACACAGACTCAGTTCGACATGATGTCGTCGTGAGCCGGCGCGGACTGCTCGCTCGCTAGCCGCTATGCGCCCAAACGAGTTTCACCTTCAGCATGCGTCAACCCAATGACTCATAGCGACTAACAATGTCAATATATATAGCTACGTGTAGCTTACGATAAAAACAAATACAGAACTTTAACAATCGTGTGTTCTCGGATTTAATAAGAATTTCGGCAGCAATATTTATAGAAATTTTGTTTGAAAAAATATAAGACTGCTTTGAAGTGATCTGAGGTTCGATTCCCGAGTCGGATCATATTTTTTTTAATAGACAACTTTTGTTCCGTATGAAGAATTTTCCTGTATCACAGGGGACTTTCCAAATATACGTGAAACGGACATAAAGAACACCAAGACTCAGAAAAACAAATCTATTCCATATGGGCATCAAACTCACAACAACCCACAACCCACGCAAACAGCTTCTTTTATGAATACTGGCAATCGTGTGTTATGGCTACAGTGCAAGTGAATGACCTACATTAAATACCTAAACCATTTTCGCTTAACTTGCAACATTTGATCGTAATGGTGTCTAATTTAGTGTTTTTATATTCGTTTTGGAATGTGTTTTACATCAAAACATTAGAATAAACGTAATATTTACAAGTAGAAGGTTACGTTACTTTTTATTATTTTCCGATGAAATGTGAAACTCGTTTATTGCGCAAACTGTCATTTTGAATCAAAATTACGAGAGCTGTTAGCACTACAATTTTACCTTGAGCACTGACTCCTGACAATCGGTTACTGAGCCAAAATGGCTTAGTTTTACTTGCCTCATTTATTGAGCGTGTTCTCAGTTTCTAGGCGTTATTATTCAAAGTTTAGAAACATAACAGTATGTTGTTCGGTACTTTAGGAGTTTATGATTAGACGGTGAGATGAGTGAAGTAAAAAAAAAAAATTGGTTGCCTGTAAAGTCGGTATACGGGCGAAAGTTTTACGTGACAACGACTATGTCTGTCTCTCTCGCTCTTAGGCGGGCTAACCATGCCCGATTGGAAGGGACGCGTGCCTCTCACTCGCTCTCATTGTGAGCGCATAACGTGAGCGGAGCGTAACGCAGTTTCTTGAAGTGTCACCCGGCAAACCAATTTATAAGACGTTGTCACGTCAAAAATGATTTTGAAAAATGATAGAACTAAAACCTACACCTAGACACTCAAAACCTACGAGGAAAACCTTAGTAGTTAAGTACACAGTTTTGTTTTGGCAATTGTTCGGAGTTGTTTTTCGGGATTTTACTTATCTACTGAAAAAATATTGCACAATATTTTTGAACATGGCGCAAATTAATGAACACTAAATTGCAATCATACTAATTAACATCCTTATTATTAATCTATACAAATAAGTAAAATTAAAGTGTCTGTTTGTAATTTGCACGATATCTATCATACATGGGACAAATTCACAGTAAACTGTGATTTATCATTCGATTTTTGCGTATGTAGGTTAGGGGTGCTATCTAGTTAGGTTAGGTTAGACGCTATTTTAAATTTTGAAACGGAGCCCGCAAACAGGAGCGGGCCGGCGCTGGGAGGGATCCAGAAGGCGATAACTACCTGGACCCCTCCTTAACTGGAAGCGCAAAGAGGGCACACCGTGTGGTTTTAGTCGGTTCGAGTCCGACACACCGCCCCGCCGAACGAGAGCCCCGGCGGGGTGACGGTCCGAGGGGATTTCCACACGTAAAAAAAAAAAAAAAAGGTTAGACGCTATTTTACAGTAAATCTAGTATTTTTTAACTATGATCTAGAGAATGGTAGCTATATATAATAAAATAATTACTAGATTTACTGTTAAATAGGCGAAATAGGGTCTTTATGCATCGTCTGAAAACAGCTTATTGGCATCAACCCGTGAGTAAGTGGTAACCCTAACCTACACCAAATAAAATAATAAATCACCGGCCTTTTACAGTTCACTGTGATTTTGTCCCATGCCTCACCAATTTAAAGTTTTTTGTCTGTCTGTTTTTATTCTAAACGGCTGGACCGATTTAGATAATATTTTACTACCAGGTAGCTGTCTATATAAGGAGGAACTTAGGCTACTTATCCTCTCAGAAAAAGCCTATAACCATTCCACCGGTGGGTGGTATCCGAGGGGATTTCCGCACAGAAAGAAAAAACCTACAGAGCGTGACAAAGGAGTATACACACATACACTCGAATAACGTACCCCTCCTTCTGAGACACGCTGCTTTAATCACTGCATAGAATTAAGACACTTTTTGTCTCACACGACCAATCTGTGGAACAAATTGTCGTCTGAAGTGTTTCAGGAACGGTTCGACTTTCAAAGTCTTAAGAAAAGAGCGTACTTCTTCCTCAAAAGCTGGCAACGCGCTTGTGACTCCTGAGTTGCAGGCGTTCATGGGTGGCGGTAGTTGCTTTCCATCAGGTGACCCGTCTGCTGGTTTGCCCCCTATTCCATCTTCATTATCAAAAAGAATACCCATTCATTTCTACTACTACTATGTTTGTATCTTTACACAAGCTGTTCATGTATTCATGTCCTAGAAACAATAGCGCAAGCTATAAATATAGTCTGGATCTAGGCAATGCTAACACGTTTCGTTACGTGTAAATTTCCTAGACTATTGTTATTTTTAACGCACCTTTATTAGTTCCGCTAGTAAACTAATCATGTACGTAAACAAATCTGGAAATTTTACTTCCTCACATCAACAGCCTATAATAGTCCACTGCTGGACATAGGCCTCTCCTTCGAATACTATACCACGCTGGCCAGACGGGTTGGTATAGAGTTTGTGTCAAGTTTTCGGCGGGCGAGCGGCGGAGGCGCGCCTATCACCGCCTCATGCCGCCCTGAGTGTGGCCGCGGGTGGACGGGGTGGGTTTCCCCTCCACCCGCATTAGTTTGGCCAGCCGCGAGGGGGCGGCGTCCGCGTGTGCCGGACGTCGCCTAAAGAGAGGAAAATTTTGAGACGGGGCCCGCAACAGGAGCGGGCCGGCGCTAGGAGGGGTCCGGATGTCTTAATAACAGCTGTTCCCGGATCCCTCCTATTACAGGCGCAGAGTGGCACACCGTGCGGTTTTAGTCGGTCCGAGTCCGACACACCACCCCGCCGCAAACCCCGGTGGGTGACGGTCCGAGGGGATTTCCACACGTTAAAAAAAAAAAAGAAAAGGGTTTGTGTCAAGTTTTCCTTCTCTTTGCAGTGCTGTTGACCTGCGTAGTTTGCTCCCTTAGTTGACTCTTCGGACACCCACGGGATGGATTGGGGTGGAGCCACTTCGTATTCTTGATCCGTTACTACACGGACCATTCTACTACCTACTACTTATAATTGTATTCAATTGAAATTGCGTATGTATACGTAGTTTGAATATGTATAAATATGTTAAGTTGCCACGACTATGCCAACTCGTCTGGCCATCGTCGTATAGAAGGCCCAAACCTCCTTTCTAAGGAGAGGCCTATGCTTAGTTTGTGTTAGAAAACTCAAAGTTTTGCACCTATTGAGTTCAAATTCAAATTTTGACACGGCAGATAACCCGTTTTGCGTCAGTTTCTGATTTATCTTCAATGCATTGATGAGAAATCACAAACTGACCACAATGTGTCACAGTGAAGCTTGGCAGGGCACAGTAAAGTATAATTATAATTTTGTATTTTGAAGGTAGTCTTATATTAAAGTCTATATATATAATAGTAAATAATATATAGTGTAATATATAAATAGTGAAGTATTTGTTCCAATCAAGTAATAGAACAAAAAGTTGCCAGGTTTCAGGCTTTTCTTTTTCTGTGAACCCTTGCTTCTAATTATTTGCCTTGCCTTGACTGCACGGATGGCGCAGTGGTCGCCACGCCTCTTCCTACTACGCCGAGTGTTGTGAGTTCAAACCCCACATGGGACGGCATTTTGTGTGATATACAAAGTGGTGTCCTGAGTCTGGGTGTTCTTAGTGTTCGTTTCATGGATGTTTGTAAAGTCCCGACACAGGATATATTTCTAATGCGGGAGTTGTCTTTTCAAAACAAAAAAAATTGATCGAAACCACTTACTACTTGAGCAACAAGCCAACCGGGTATTCTAAACTAGTATGTTATTATTACATTATCTAATCATTAATTTGCTATCACCATAAAAAACTAACCAGTCGATAGATAGCAAATTGAAGATAAAGAAAGATTAAGATTGTCTTTAGCTATATCTGTGCCAGGAGGGAGAGGGGGAGGGGGGGGGGGGTGGAAGAGGATTGAGGGTTGTTTTTGTATTTTTTAACCGACTTCAAAAAAAGGAGGAGGTTCTCAATTCGACTGTTTTTTTTTTTTTTTTTTTATGTTTGTTAGCTTAGAACTTTTGACTGGGTGAACCGATTTTGATGATTCTTTTTTTATTGGAAAGCTGGTGCTTCCCGTGTGGTCCCATTTCAATTTTTCAATTTGGTTTAGTTCTGATAATGGCATCCATGAGAAAACCATATAAGTCTTAAATTTGCATTTAGTATGTTCGCGACAAATAGACGAATAACTCGATTTCACGCAAACCGATTTCGATAATTCTTTTCTTATTGGAATGGATGTACTTTAAGGGTACTTTGATGAGATTTTGGTTAGATTCTGATGATGGGATCCACGACAAAGTAACGGAACTCTTCAATTCTTAGGA